CGAATTTGAAGTAGAGTTCCATATTAGAAGCAGGAATTTATTCATGGACAGCATATTAACATTTTAAGACCAAAATTACAAGGCTCACTGCAGCAATTACAGAGAGTTTTTCAATGTACAGTCAATTGGAGCCAGAGTCAATGGAGCCAGAAGCACCCCCGTGCTCACTTAGTATTTGGAACACGGTGGCTAGTGGTTTAGCTACAGTATGGCCATATACAGTCTATGGTCTTGATTCTCTACTGTAGATTATATGTCCGTTCAGACCGGAGTGTCAAAAAACACACTGGACTCCTCCAGTTGGATGCCTTTGCATTTGAGTTTAGACAAGAGACAAGATACTTGACGCTCGTCCAGGGCGTCTGTTGACCTGGAAACAAATGCTATTTTCCCGGAATGATGGCAGACCAGCTTGAGTGTTGAGTGTCTTTTGTGTATTTATAACATAAAACCCATCGGTAGAGGTGATCAGCTTGGCGGCTTGTGTATGTATATATAATTTTACTATACTCCGCTAATGTTTGTGGCTCCCCGCCTCGGTTCCTGGGTCTTTTTCTTTCTTCTCGATCTTCCGGATATTAACCTTGCTACGTCACTGGATAGTCGTCCCTGATTGGTTGATGCGGCGTATCTGACACCACAAGTTCATTTTTAACTTCTGATGCTGATGCCCTGGACGTTTATCCAGAATATTGATGCTTGAACGCTCAAGACGTGCCCTGATTATGCCTAAAGACATGTTGCAAAAAACACAGAATGCCCTAGACACACGTCCACGTAGACTTTGCACTGGACACCTTGATGCCGTGGTCTGAAAGGACCTTTTAGATAACTTCACATAAAAGTAGCAAACTAGATAAAGGAGATTGAAAGACAAAGCTTCTATGGACCACTGCTGCCTTAGTGTCAGAGTCCTGTCTCCCTCCCGAGGCTTAGCACCCAGCGAGCAACACCCTATCTGTTTTTACAGAGGCTAATAGGAAGCCCGCTCTTTATCCCCACACTGTGCCTCTACATAATGGAATAGAGAGACATAATGCTGGTCGAGTCCAGCTGTCTGTGGAGGCCCTTCAAATTGCCTCCAATCCCCTTAACAAATCTGATGGAGAGTCTATGAATAACTCAAGTACCACTCATCACCCTGCACTTTTTCACCCTTTCTTTCAAAACATTAACTCAAGTTAGCCCATGTTTAATTGGAAAGTTTCGGGGTTTATAAGTTTCAAATGGTAAAATTTTGATTGCAAGATAACTGGACTACTATAGGGCTGCAAGCTTAATCATAATCAAATTGAAATTGAAATTTGAATTAACTTAATGAATTGCAAAGGCTGCAATTTTTTAAGTATTATTATTTAAGTTACAGTCTGCATATAGGATTCTTGTGTTAGTTTGTTTTTAGACAAAAAAAAACTTTGGATGTGTTTTTAAAATGGGAACTTGATCAGAATCTTATTATGAAAACGTAAATTGCAAATCTGATCACAGTGCTTGTTAGCTTGTTAGAAAACCTGCAAGTCAATATGTTTTCCCAAATCATTCAGTCTTACTACTTACTTACTACTTACTTACTGTTCCTGGAGATAAATGTGTCTTCTGCATTTGACCCCATTGAAATCAGAATCTGGAAGAAACCCACCCAAACAAGGGGAAAACATGCAAACAAAAATTTTTGGCAAAAATATTTAGTTTAAGCTTCCCCAGTCTCAGTGTGTTCATGTGCCATTCCCAGTTTTTCTCCTCTATGCATGAGATTTGTCTGTGTGATGTGTATTAAGGCATAAACAAAAATGTTATGACCCAGATAAATGCATGTTGTTATTTTTCTGAAATTTAACTAAACATACATTTTGTGGGCCTTGTAACAGATTTGAACATCTTCTAATCGGTATCAGTTCATATCGTTCACAGCAGGTTGAATATCAAAATGTCTATATTGTCTACATCCCTAAAACCATCCATTCCAGAATCAAATCCTTCTCTCATTCTTCTCTCCGCTCGCCTTTTAGAAGACAAAAGCCTCATCCGCAGTATTTGATGTGTGCAGAATGGTAAATCCGTGCGTTGTTTTTTTTTTTCTGGCACATGCACACTTTCACCAGTCACAGCTCCTCGCCGCCTGTTGTCGCTGTCAGTTTACCTTGTTGTGCGGTTGGTTTCTCTACTTGAGTAGTGTTAGTCGGGCCCATTAGCAGCATGTTATTAGCTACCAACACACTTGTAATTATTGTGTTGACGTGAAAGGGATGGCTGATTGAAGATGATGAACAGCACACAACTCGGTGACAAAGACATGTATGCAGATATTAAAATAATGATTGGCAATCTCAGTTGGCAAGCGGTACTTACAAGTGGGTAGACTTACCACAACAAATTTTGAAGTATCATATATAGCTACAGAAAATATGGCATATATGATGATATTAAAACTACTTTGTGACACTGGCACAGTGACCCTAAAGCTGGATAGTCTTAGTATACCTTTTTCTAAATGAGCAATATTGATTAAAAAAGAAGAAGCAATAATTAGACATAGCAGTTACATATGAAACCCTCTATGGCTCAAATTGTATTACAAAAAAGCAGCTGCAAATAAAATGTACACAAATAAATATTTAGCCTTAAAATATGTTGTATGTAATGATTTGCATTTTGAAACAGCCTTATTGCATCTTTTTATAAATGAGGATTAGCTATTTCTAGCGACCTGATTTTTAGAAGAGATTTAGTTTTGCGTGCACCTTGAAAATCAGGGCGGCTTTCCTTCCTCCCATTTCACCTATCTTTTGAGCACATGCATGTCTTTAATTACCCCACTACATGACATACCACTTAGAGTCCTGAATCCCTGGTGCTGTTACGCAACCACCCCCTTCCCACACAACCACATTTGTACACCTCTATTATATATGCATCTACCTGAGTGCTGGAGGGTGACAGCTCTATTAGTTAATACCTTTTCTGTCAATGCCTTTGCTTGTAGGAGCAGTATCAATTCAGTGGTAGGTTGAGATTTGAAGACAAAGTAAGGCAGCGCTGGGAGTGGACTTATAAAGTCCTCGGTTTCTAGCCTGTCCACTGGTTTTGATGGGATTATGTGACGGAAAACTGTTGGTCAACATCAGTCATACAGGCTTAACTGGATTACTGCTCCAGTAATGACACCTGCAGCAGCTCACACCATGGAGTGTTCAAGGTTATATAGAAGATCTAGTACTGCTAACTGCAGGCACAGCTAAACAACAGGATCGTTTATAGTGCTGTGCAATAAAATTCCTCATTTTGTGTCTATCTGTGCAGGTGGCTTTTGTCTTAAATATCTTTTTTTTGTACCATGTTCTTTACAAAGTCCTTGGTGGCCATAAAGGTCCATAGCACAGTAAAACTGTGTTAAAGTGAATGATAGCAGTGGCAGTTAGCTTTATATTGCTATCTTGCAGCTCTTTGGGGCAGTGAAGATCCACTACCCGGAGAGAGAAGGACAATGGGCTGCAGAAGATCACTTTGAGATTGCCTGATTGCTTAGTTGACCTCTGAGAATTGGCTTCCCTTTATGTGCATATACTCTGACACCTCTGGCACGTGTGTCTAAAAATGTCAGCTCTCAGGACAGATCAGATGGCAGGTTGCCCTTGGTGGACCATGAGGTGCCCATAGAGACATCAAAGGGAGGTGTAGTGTGCTGCCCAAGGGCACCTGAGTTTAATTCACTTCTTGACTCTAGACACTGTTCCCCCGGGATGCATTCTGTTGGATTGTATGAAGGGTTTGTAGTGGCTGAGCTGAGTGAACTCTTTAAAGTGAACTTAAAGCAAGAGGAGGAAGTTTCCCACAGCGAGTTGCTAAGTGTTTACAAGATAAGATGCTCTCCGTCTTCACAGGCCCCTCACTAACACGCCGCCATCACAGCTAATCCGCCAATCAACACTGGATCCTGTTTGAGAGGCCTGATTGGCTGATTAACAAAGATCATCAGCACGCCACCCACCGGGCTTAGGATACACACACACACTGCTCAAATTACCCCCTACATCTGTACGCACATATGCATAATCTATGCATACTTTCATTATCTGCTTTGCATTTATGAAGTGTGCTGCTACTTCATGCAAGTGCACACACAAAGTTTCAGAGAGGACTTATCCTTGTACTTTAAACTCTCTCATTATTCTCTGGTGCTGTGCTTAACTTTTTAAGTGTTGGTTGTTCCAAAAAGTAGAGTGAAATGGAGTGCATCTCACATCATAGGATTTTCAAGCTTAACGTTACAACAGTGGAGATTTTAAGATGCTGAATTCTAAACTTAGTTACATTGTCTTGGCTAATGCATCTATGGGAGCATTTTGCAATGCTGCTTCAAACATGGCGTATTTCCATGGTAATTGGAATTCCATCACAAGCTCTATTTGGAATACTTCAACACAAGAATACTAAATCCACATCTGAAAATTGGAATGTACTACCAAAAACTGTGTATTACTTTTTATTTTTAACGCATGATGTATTGAAGGCCCCCCAGAGCCCATTAGGGGATGTAACAATATATCATGATGTATTTTTGGTAATGTGGGTGGATTTTTCTCTAAAATGGCCTGATGAACCTTTAGTGGCTTCGTTTCTGTCATTATCCAAAGGGCTACAATATTGTTGGAGAGTGGTGCCTAAAGTATAAAGTCTAAGCTTGCTGACTTTGCAAGAAAATCAACTGCATAGCGTATAATATATTCCAGTAGAGCCAGTTATGGGCACATCCAGGGACTCACACCTGGAAAGCAGAGGAACGTTATATATTATTCTTTGGAACTGCATCCCTCACCACCATCTAATCCTCTGAAGACTAGCTTTATGATTTTAAGCAGACATTATGCCACAAGCTCCAAACAAAGATACTGCTAGTTATGAGTTTTCTTTTTGACACGATCTTCCATCAAGTTTAGAAAAGCATAGCCAAGTCAATATCTGGCCTTGTCAAATAATTTTTCATCTTTCTCTTTTTATAGATTTGTTCCTGACGACCCAAGGGCCAAAGTTTGAGACATGGATCAGTAAGGTAAATCCGCTAACTACAAGGAGATGTGGCTTTATATGTGATAGTGAATCACTGAGTTTTAGCTGCATTTAAAAAGTATAGAATTGCTGTCATATCACTAAATATTGTGGCATATGTGGCATAGGAAACATACAACAACATAACCTCTATTACAGTATCATTAAAGGTCCTTTATTACACAAAAATGATTCTTGTAAGTTTTAACCATGTTATAATGCTGTTGCCACTTCAAATGTTATTATTAATCTGTCTACATCTCCAAAGCTCAAAATGCCCTGTTCCACATTGTGATGTCAAGTAGTGGTAGCTTTCAGTTTAATTTTTCTGCCTTTTATCTTCAGTTCGGCAGAAATTGGCAATTCCAGGGCCAAAATTATCCAAATGATTCTAGCGAGTTTGCAAACACAGTGGAGCACTTCCTGTATAACAGTTTTCAATTTGAAAGAAGAACTCAACCTAAATATCCAAGGTTTCTGTGTTAAAATTGTGTGAATGAAACAAATAAAACTCTAGGGATGTTTTTGACGAAGAAACAACATTGTAACATGGATCGGAAAATAGCTTAATATGGGCTCTTTAACACAGTGCAGTATAATGTTTGCAGTGAAATAATACAAGACAAACCTAAATCCTCAAGCCATGTATAGAGCCTCTACCTTTGGCACTCACCCCGGTGTCTTTGCTGCAGGACTAGTTAATATTCTGGGAAGCAGGGAGACACAGCACAGACCAGGGCTTCTGTGTTTCTTTGTCAAGGGTACTATTTGGAATTCTGCAGGTCGACGCTGAATCCGAACACTAGTCTGTCTTATCACCGAAAGGGAATGAGAGAGGAGGAGAAGGTGGAGGAGGCAGGGGGGGTACTTAAAGATCTTCTAGGGACAGAATGCAAGAGGCAGGAGCAGAGCAGAGACCAAGAAGGAGCAAACTCTGTAAATAAACTCTTTTGCCCTGTACAAGATGGATGGTGGAGGTATCACCGCTTAACAGGAGAGGATAGTGGAGTCTTAGAATCTTCTAACAGATTGAAAAAGAAATAGCAACATATTTTTCAAAGTAGGTTTATTTAAATGCATTTAATTCTGTTGACAAAGTGCTAATTGATGTGTTTGGCTTCATCCTCTGCTGCGGTGACATCTCATTTAAGGGCAATTTGCGAGCAGTATGGCATTCGCTATTCTTTATAGCTCTTTAAAATGGGACTGAGCGCCTAAACTCCGCCCACAACCACATTTCAAATAGAGCTGCTAACTTGGGCATGGCCTGTGGACTAAAGAAAAGCGAGAGAGAGAGGAGAAGGGGCAGGGTCTGGAGGTATAAGCTACACTGTGATTGGTCTAACCGGTATCAACATTTCAAACTCTGCCCCTGCAAGCCAGTCTTTTGTGATGTCATCATCCATCCATCCATCCATTTTCGTCCGCTTATCCGGGGCCGGGTCGCGGGGGCAGCAGCCTAAGCAGGGACTCCCAGACTTCCTTCACCCCAGACACGTCCTCCAGCTCCTCCGGGGGGACCCCGAGGCGTTCCCAGGCCAGCCGAGAGACATGCCCAGAACACCTCCCGAGGGAGGCGCCCAGGAGGCATCCGGAACATCCGGAACAGATGCCCGAGCCACCTCAACTGGCTCCTCTCGACGTGGAGGAGCAGCGGCTCTACTCCGAGCTCCTCCCGTGTGACTGAGCTCCTCACCCTATCTCTAAGGGAGCGCCCAGCCACCCTACGGAGGAAACCCATTTCAAGCGCTTGTATCCGCGATCTCGTCCTTTCGGTCACTACCCAGAGCTCATGACCATAGGTGAGAGTAGGAACGAAGACTGACCGGTAAATCGAGAGCTTCGCCTTTCGGCTCAGCTCCCTCTTCACCACAACGGTCCGATACAACGACCGCATCACTGCCGAAGCTGCACCGATCCGCCTGTCAATCTCCCGTTCCGTCCTTCCCTCACTCGTGAACAAGACCCCGAGATACTTGAACTCCTCCACTTGAGGCAAAGACTCCCCACCCACCCGGAGAGGGCAAGCCACCTTTTTCCGGTCGAGAACCATGGCCTCAGACTTAGAAGAGCTGATCTTCATCCCAGCCGCTTCACACTCGGCTGCAAACCGCCCCAGTGCACATTGCAGGTCCTGGTTCGATGAAGCCAACAGGACAACATCATCCGCAAACAGCAGAGATGAGATCCTGTGGTCCCCAAACCGGACCCCCTCCGGCCCCTGACTGCGCCTAGAAATTCTGTCCATAAATACAATGAACAGAACCGGTGACAAAGGGCAGCCCAACATGCACCGGGAACAGGTCTGACTTACTGCCGGCAATGCGAACACAGCTCCTGCTCCGGTCATACAGGGACCGGACAGCCCTTAGCAAAGGGCCCCGAACCCCATACTCCAGAGCACCCACCACAGGACACCACGAGGGACACGGTCGAATGCCTTCTCCAAGTCCACAAAGCACATGTGGACTGGTTGGGCAACTCCCATGAACCCTCGAGCACCCTATGGAGAGTGTAGAGCTGGTCCAGTGTTCCACGGCCAGGACGAAAACCACACTGCTCTTCTTGGATCTGAGGTTCGACTATCGGTCGGATTCTCCTCTCCAGTACCCTGGCATAGACCTTACCGGGAAGGCTGAGGAGTGTGATCCCCCTATAGTTGGAACACACCCTCCGGTCCCCCTTCTTATACAGAGGGACCACCACCCCGGTTTGCCAGTCCAAAGGTACTGTCCCCGACCGCCACGCGATGTTGAAGAGGCGTGTCAGCCAAGACAGCCCCACAACATCCAGAGACTTAAGGTACTCAGGACGGATCTCACCCAACCCCGGAGCCTTGCCACCAAGGAGCTTTCCAACCACCTCAGTGACTTCAGCCAGGGTGATGGATGAGTCCGCCTCCGAGTCCCCAGCCTCAGCCTCCTCCTCGGAAGACGTGACGGTGGGATTGAGGAGATCCTCAAAATATTCCTTCCACCGCCGGACAACGTCCCCAGTCGAGGTCAGCAGCTCTCCCCCCGCACTGTAAACAGTGTTGGCGAAGAACTTCTTCCCCCTCCTGAGGCACCGGACGGTTTGCCAGAATCTCTTTGAGGCCGTCCGATAGTCCTTCTCCATGGCCTCCCCGAACTCCTCCCAGCTCCGATTTTTTGCCTCCGCAACCGCACGGGCTGCAGCACGCTTGGCCCGCCGGTACCCGTCAGCTGCTTCAGGAGTCCCCCGAGCCAGCAAGACCCGATAGGACTCCTTCTTCAGCTTGACGGCATCCCTTACTTCCGGTGTCCACCACGGGATTGCCGCCGCGACAGGCACCACAGACCTTATGCCCACAGCTCTGAGCAGCCGCATTGACAATAGAGGCCGAGAATGAAGCCCACTCGGACTCCATATCTCCAGCCTCCCCCGGAATCCGGGAGAAGTCCTCCCGGAGGTGCGAGTTGAAAGTCCCTCTGACAGAGGGCTCCGCCAGACGTTCCCAACAGACCCTCACTACACGCTTGGGTCTGCCAGGTCTTTCCGGCTTCCTCCTCCGCCAGCGAACCCAACTCACAACCAGGTGGTGATCAGTTGACAGCTCAGCCCCTCTCTTCACCCGAGTGTCCAAGACACGCGGCCGGAGATCAGATGACACGACTACAAAGTCGATCATCGACCTCCGGCCTAGGGTGTCCTGGTGCCACGTGCACTTATGGACACCCTTGTGCTCGAACATGGTGTTTGTTATGGACAAACCGTGACTAGCACAGAAGTCCAATAACAAAACACCGCTCGGGTTCAGATCGAGGAGGCCGTTCCTCCCAATCATCCCTCTCCAAGAGTCACTGTCGTTGCCCACGTGGGCGTTGAAGTCCCCCAGGAGAACAACGGAGTCCCCGGTCGGTGCACTGTCTAGTACCCCTCCCAAGGACTCCAAGAAGGCCGGGTACTCAGCACTGCTATTCGGCTCGTAGGCCGACACCACAGTGAGAGACCTGTCCCCGACCCGAAGGCGCAGGGACGCGACCCTCTCGTTCACCGGGGTGAACTCCAACACACGGCGGCTGAGCTGTGGGGCAATGAGCAGGCCCACACCAGCCCGCCGCCGCTCCCCGCGGCCAACGCCAGAGAAATGGAGAGTCCAGCCCCTCTCAAGGAGTTGGGTTCCAGAGCCCAAACTGTGCGTGGAGGTGAGGCCGACTATATCTAGTCGGTAACGCTCAACCTCCCGCACAAGCTCAGGCTCCTTCCCCCCCAGCGAGGTGACATTCCATGTCCCCAGAGCTAGTCTCCATGTCCGGAGATCCGGTCGTCGAGGCCCCCGCCGTCGACTGCCGCCCAGATCTCTCTACACCGGCCCCATATGGCTCCTCCCGCGGGTGGTGGGCCCACGTGAGGACGGCCCCACGTCGCTCCTTCGGGCTGAGCCCGGCCGGGCCCCGTGGGGGAAGGCCCGGCCACCAGGCGCTCGCTGACGCTGAGCACCCACCCCAGGCCTGGCTCCAGGGTGAGGCCCCGGTGTGACGCCAATCCGGGCGACGTAACTGGCCTCTGTGTTGCACTCATCATAAGGGGCTTCTGAACCGTTCTTCGTCTGACCCGTCCCCCCGGACCTGTTTGCCTTGGGTGACCCTACCAGGGGCATGAAGCCCCCGACAACATAGCTCCCGGGATCATTCGGGCACTCAAACCCCTCCACCACGATAAGGTGACGGTTCAAGGAGGGGTGATGTCATCAACTACTGGATGTCATCAACTACTGGAAAATGCATAGGCCACTGGAGGCAGCAAAAACAATGATTTAGGCCTTTTTGACCAAAAAGCTGAAAATGTATATCTAGGCTGGCGCCACCTAGTGTCTCCGCTCAACTTTATTTCTCTCTAACGACTAAGTCAAGAATCGGAATAGACCAGACTGTTCGCAAAAACCCCAGAAGTGTGAGATCGGGAACCAGCCAATCAGGGAAGAGCCATATATTTTATGTTGTGAACGATTTCCGAGATCGAGGATTTAAAGCCGCAATAAAGAGAAAGTTTAGTGAATTTTATCAAGGGGAAAGATCCGGGATTTGGGGAAAGCTTAATATATCAGTTAGCCCCATTAGCGGCGCATTACATACGTCACGACCAAATAGCAGCAATTGGTTAAATGAAAAAAAGTATCTGCCTACCCTTGAACGAACGGATTCTAACACTGTGAGGTCAGACAGTTTCTATGAAGTGAAACTGGCTGATGAATCAGTCTAGAAAATGTACCCAGTTTGCACTAAAATTATCAAAAGTAGACAATGCAGTTAAAACACGTACGGTGCATATTGTGTAATAGCGAAAAAAGTGGTTTTAGTGTTTATTTCCACTAACCTTTTAGTTCTTCCAGTAAAAAGGTAATATTTCTTCCAGTAAAATTCCTAAATATATTAAGAAGACAACATAGACATCCTCTCTAAAGGACTGCCCATGTGCCTCTAAGAGTGTTAATCCTCACTGCGATCTGCGGTTCAATACCACAGCTATTGGTCACTGGCCATTAATTGCTTTTCTCTGTTTTCTGTTTTTCCCTTTGTCTTCATTCCTCCTTATTTCAATGCTTTTTTATGATTGCGCTAGAGAAGTCAATCTGTGCATCTTGGAGAGTTTAAATGTTGCTTTTATTGGGTTAAAGTCTAAATAAATCTATAGTTGAGTTGTATATGCAAAACAGCATGTCTTGATTAATGTTGAGCAATTGGCCTTTAATACAAAACACTGGGGATGAGAGAGGACAATTATTTTTAGGTTTTGAACTGAGTGCACTTCCCACTGTCACCAAGTGCACTAGGGAAACTTGAAATATGTGTTGACTACTTACACAATGGCTCATTCTATGGTAATTTAGCATGGTAATTACAATTGTGGCTGCCTCTGGGCTCACAAATTAATAGTTTTTGCAGAGTTGCTTACTGAGGATTATACAGTTCTACAGGTACAACAGTTCATGATATTTAATTAGTAAGACTTTTGCCAAATTGTGATGACCTGTTGGCAAGATAGAACTTAGCCCTATATTTACAGCAGGGTTGTCCATATTGATATCAGAAGCTTAACTGATTCTAAAGCTAGTATCGAAACTAGGTATTCGTTTCATCAACTATCGATACTGAAAAAAAATCACAAACTGGCAAAACTGGACCTGAATAGTTTTTTAGAATGATCTCTATCAAAACTAACATAAAACTACATTACAATACGAAAATAATCACTGTTAAGTAATGCTTTCCTATAGTTTACTTTGACTCCTATGCATCAGTTTACAGGATGAACATTTGCTCATAGTCATTGTTTGTAACATGACCTCTCTGTAGGCTATGCTATGCGATAAAGTACTATACTATACTATGTTACTGTTGCGGAAACGGAGGGACTAGACTAAGACCGAATCCAGCAGAAGATATTCACTAACTTGGTTCCAGTGCACTAAAATCATTCTAGAAGCAGTAATTAAATAATTCAAACAGTGATCCAATATTAGTTATTTAGACTCAACATTGTCCAGTCTCATTTAAATAAAACACTTAAGTTTACCAAACTGCACTGTCCATTCCTTCCTCTAGACAGCCCACCAGCTCACCAAAGCACTATCTGCTCTATTTCTGTTCCTTTGTAAAGCAAATAACACACAAGTCATTATCTGTGACTGTTTACAGATGCTTGTGTTGCCCATATGTTATCAGGAGCAGAAGGGAAGAATAATGGGCAGTAATCCTCTCATCTTTGCACCCTCATCAGCAGTCAATCACTCCGTCATTAGTCAGTTTTAATCATGACGTGCTGCACCAGTCAATCTCCTGATTCCACAGCTCAGAGTCTGGTTCCCGGGCGCTGTTGCTGTTGGGCGGCTGGACTGAGCCAGGTGTTTTGATCTCCTCGGCAGTATCATTGACAAGGCAATAATTCTCTTCACATTTAGAAAGAGCAGCTCCCGGGCCTGCTATGTTTACACCAGTCATTCAGAGACCAGCCCGATGTGTATATTTTCTGTATAACCAAGTATTGTAACATATACAAAAGTAATGCATGTTATACAAAATCATGTTGTGTCAAGTCAAAATTGTTCCAATATCAGGTGATTGCCTTGTGGGAATGTTCAAAGAAATGGGTAACATTCATATATAATGTTAATCAAACTTTTAATGTCAATACATTTTCAATAATATCATAATAAAAATTGAATAAGAAGTAGTTCCTAGGCCCCAAGGTGCTAATTCCCAAGTAGTGAACTCTAGTGTGACTGAGTATGTGTTTTAATGGCCGATAACAGTTGTGTAGAATCCTGAACAACCGATGACCAGTCAGCTCTGCTTATCTTTTGAGGCCAAAAGGGCTGTTTTCTACAATTTGTTTTTGATTTTATAAAATTATTTTCGCTCTAATATTCTTATAAACAACCTTACTATCCACAGTGCACTGCTCTGCATCAGACAAGTATAAAAATACAGATCATAATATTGCCCTATGCAGAAACATTAAAGGGAACATATCACATTTTCTTCTGATCTACGTTATAAAGTTGTTTCTTCATCAAAAACATACCTGGAGTCATGTTTTATTTCATTTAACACAGAAACCCTGCATATCACACTACCTTGTGATGTCACGTGGTAATACATGAGGTGTTCTACTGTGTTTTTAAACCTCATAAACCTTCACTAGAATCATTTCAATGTTTTCAGCCATGTCAGCTGCCAGTTTCTAGTGGCCTAAAGGTAAAAGGTAGCTGTTAACATGAAAACTACCTCTTCATGACATCACAGGGTGAAACAAAGCATTTTGCGCTTTGGAGATGTAGACAGACTATCCTTTAAGGTCGATAGCCAATATGCTAAAAATTGCAAATATCAGCATAATATATCACTACCGGGCTTCATCTGGGACTTCTGCAATTCTCCACTTTAGTTCTGAAATATTAATTGGAAAGACAAATATTTTCTTTAGATGGTTCTTGGCATAAGGTTTAAGTTATAAATTGACAACTTGTAAACACACTCACAACAACTTAGACTTTACTGGCACTTCTCTAGCCTTGTTTACCCTTGAGAATGCTATCAAATTATATTTTGTTCTCTGTAAAAAGCTTCAAAAACTTGATCAATTGTGAGCAATAATACTTGTCAAGTGCCCATCAAGTATGATTCTGTTTGGGTTTTTCTCCATTTTGGGGCCTTGCTTTCTGTTTATAGTTGAAAAGGTTATGTTGTTTTATCATTCAACTTGTGATTCCACCCTTTTGTGTGGTTTTTGGCCTATTAAAATGACGGCAATGAAATTCAAGTACCCCCTAAAAATGTATGCATATTTGTACACACATCTCAAGGCATATAAAGTATTCTCACTGGAAAATGAAGGGTCTATTAAAACTCAAAATCAGAACAACCTGCACACCATGAGATCTAATTAAATGTATCTAAAATGTTTTATTATTCATGTGTAAACAAGGAATTCTAATCTGATTTTACTTTGTACTTGATGGAATAATGTTTTGTATACATCTGGAACAGCTCTTAGGGCTATATAAAGAAAAAGTCTATTTACTTTCCAATATGAGATAATGCTGACCCAAAGGCAGAATAGGGAAAACAAGATTTTCAGTTTCAAAAGATCACATTATTTTAATTTAATGTGTAAATTACATTTTTTTTATGTATTTATATTATTTTATTTTATTTTTTTTATTTTCAGAATGGAAACTTTACCAAAGAAGAGATCATGCCATCTGCACCTCCAGCAAACCTAGACAAAATTGGACAGTCATCTTTCATCGATTTCAGTGAGTATTTCAGATTTTTACATCTTATTTACCCTTATATTTGTTAAAGCATACCCATTATACAAAATCGATTTTTTGAGAGCTTTTAACCATGTTATAGTTGTTTCCACATCATATTTACCCTCTGCAAGTTGTAACTGGAGTGATTTGTGCATGTTTGAGCAATGTTTAGTCGTTCATTCTCAAGACACAGATTTTGCCTATCAATCCCTGTTTTCACCGGTTGTCTCTCACTTCCCTGTACTTACTTTTAGGGATGTACCAATATCCAAATCCTTCAGTATGATATTTTCACAATATAACTGTGAATATGCTTGATAAGACTTAATCCAAAGAACTAAGATTTAAAAGTGATTATAACAATTATTTCTTCACATAGTCTGCAATGAAATCAACCAAAGGATTATGGTCTATGTAGTTCTTTTAGTTATTGCTGCCCCATAACTATTCATTTAAACAAAGAGACTTGAGAGACTTCAATACAATGTGGTGGTCCACGATATTATCGCGAGACCTTTGACAATACAATATCATAATATTTTTTGTTGTTGTTACATCCCTACTTACTTTGTTCTTCAATTGTATTTTCTTAATTAGTGATACATATGGCATTCGGCAGCATCACATCTACTCATTTTGGCACAAATGGAAAAAAGAAACTGCTTATCGCTAGTGTGATTTGCAGCTATGCATAGGGGGTACCTTTATTTTTGTTGTGCCATTGGGCACTCCAGTTTTCTTGCGTAGAAGTGAGTGCACTTGTTTCTTTTACAAAGTCATTTTAGATTAATTATTGCGATTAATATTAAAATGTGTAAATTATAACATTATGATCCACGGGTGTCATAGGTAACTATATAGCATTCTCAAGCATGATATGAATTCTTTAAAAAGACAAAACAAATCCAGTACAATTTTCTGATATCACTCCTATAGATCACTGTGAATTTTGTTGCTCCAGATTATTCCTCTTGTATCAGTGCGTGTGTCTCCTAAGCCTCCTCTGAATCTGAAGGCGCGTTGCATCAAAGGTTTCCAAATAGAACTGGCTGCTCTTTTGAATTTTCACTTTTCTTCTCTGCACGCTTGCAGCCAGAGCAGAGGCCGGCAGCAGGCTAATCTCACATACACCCTCCCACAATACAAAATGCCACACACAGTCACATATGCACCCAGCGTTCTATCAACATTTTATCCAAACAATCTTGGCCAGAGCTGCTCATTGTTCAACCCGGCTCTACATTTATCCCTGCAAATCTCTTGTGCTTTTTAATCTCCGGACTGCAGAGCCTATAGTTGCCCATGATACGGAGGTGACACAATCAGGTCTGTGTCATGAAAAACTGCAGTGGAAATGGCTCTGCTATATATTATATTATATTGCCATATTATGCTATTTTCTGATCTATGTTGTTAACTCATCAAAATCTGGAATACCTGGAGTTGTGTTTTGTTAAAGTCACACACTTTAATACACACCTATTTAAGATGAAGTCTTTATTAAAACAGAAAACACTCTGTTACACCTTGTGATGTCATATGGTAATAGGGGAAGTACTCCATACACCTTCCCTAAAATCATCTTCTACTGAACCAAAGGTAAAAGATAGCTGTTAACTTGAAAACTACTGCCGTGCTTTTGTTCATTTTTCTGGACACATGAACTTTGAACAGAATCCTATTTTTAAAATATCAATTGCAGTTCTAATCAAAATTGCAGTGCTTGTCACAAAAATTGCAATTGAATATTTTTCAAAAATGGTAAAACCGTGTGTGCAATGCACGATTTTGGCTGTGATGAAAGATTTGAGTTATAGCTCAAAATACAGTAAATACACATCCAGAATGGTCTTAATATCAAATAACCGATGACCGCCAAGAGTGTGAACAAATGTATGCAAGTTAAGTAGTCCATGTGGCCACCCATTTGGCATCTGTTTGTTTAATCCTCTATGGAGGCTTGGACCTTTTTATTGTCCAAATCTCCTCCTTATCTCAACCAAAACTTTACAAATCTTATTGGGGCTTAGAGGATGTCTCTCAATTTCAAACAAAATATCATATTAAAATGCAACATATAACAGGAAGATGAAATTGAAAGAACTGAGTTGTATTTTTAAACAAGTTTCTCACACATAAAATGACAGTCACAAGTTAGTTAACATTAACTGTTTTTCACCTTTTTTATTGATCACAGACACCTGAAAATGAGTTGGTTTTGGATTTTACCTTGAGTTTTCAGATCTTAAATCTCATTTAGCTGTGCTTGTTAATGTGTGCATTATGGTAACATCTGAATATTCCATCATAAACAGAAAGGCACAACTCTCCCCAGCGTGATGTCACTGCAAAGTATCAATATTTTGCCAAAAAGAAATGCCTTGGTTTTATGAGTGTCTTTATTTGTCCTCTTCTCCTAATGGTGCCAAACCCCATTGTTAATTTATTTACCTCTTATCTACTTAACGCCTCTTGAGTAGATTGCTCTGTCGTCATTATGACAATGAGACGACAAAAAGTTCATATTCATTTTGGAAATTACCAACCACTTAATGTAATTTTGCTGTCTTCACAGTTCAGATTATTGCTTTGAACTTCAGCACATTTGTTTATATGCTTGAATGTAGGGATGGTTCAGTATGGATTTTTGAGCCAATTTTGATATCCCATATTTGGCTTGATGCTTTTGCTGATAACAAATTTATAATCTATTAATAAAACTATTGATATACTATTTAGTGCTTAAAAATAGAAGTGCCACATATCGTAATATAATATGCAAAAACTCTTCGATATCAGCCAGTATCGATATATCACCCGTCCCTACCTGAATGAATGGCTATATTGAGTTGCAGTTTTGTCATTTATCTCTCTTTATCTATATTGTGTTTTCAAAGTATTACATTAGGTAATAATAATATGGACTCATAGTATGGAGAGAGTGAATGCGTGGGAGTCTTGGTATGAAATCAATAGCGCTGAATGGAGTGCTCAGTATTAGTCACAGGAGATTGGCTGTGTCAAAGTATGCAAAAAATTTAAAGAAAATCAATAGGTCAGAACCTTTTAAATATTGTAACACATTGCGCACATGCAGAGGTTTCGGCCTGCAGCTCTCAGTGCTCTGCGTTGTGTGGAGAAATCTCACATATTCATGTACTGCCAAGTATGTTGCGCTGTTTCAGGTGATTTTTATGCAAGCTGCAGCAGATGTATGTTAAGTCCACACAATTGACTCTACAGAGTTTGTTCATTTATATTTATTATTATTAACTAAAGGACTAGTTACAAGATGAGCATGCAGCAAATGAGCACATTCAGACATGCATAAATTGTATGCATTTCAAAAGGTCACACATCAGGCTTAAAGGAGACATATTATCAGTATTTAAGAATTTAGGGATGGGCATTCGATGAAATTTTCTTAATCGATCGTCGGAAGAATTAACGATTGATTATCGATTAATCATTAACGTTTTTATATTAAAATGATCATCATTATTATTACTATCTGCACTACTAATCTGCATAAATAAATTCAACTTTACGACATATAAACCGTAACGACTCAAGAGCCACATCAATCCGTTTTAGATTATAATGTGTTTAATTCAGTTTTGCGCAACTCTCACAGAAACAAAACTTAAAACCAAATAGCTAATTTGCATAAACTCAGCGAAGATAAAACTACAGCTCTTGTGTCGCTGATGCGGTCAGTTTCTGTCGGATTAAAAGACATGACTCAGTGGAATACAGGTTAGTGTGACCAGATTTGCGTTTGTCAAAACCAGGACACCGTACGAGGGCTGGGAGGTGGGGACTCGTCATTGACATTGCGCGACTCTCACCTGGTAAAGCTTTTTCCCACTGGACACCGAAACATATGTTCTTGCTTTGTACACTGTGCACATGGACTCCCACTTGTCCCGAACGCAATGGAAAGCGTGGAATTTCTTGTACAAATCATCGTTAAATACGCATTTGTGCTTCGGTACGCTGCAGACTGACCGAATGTTTGTGTTTGCTCGCTCCTTCTGATGCAGAGAGACACATGTACGGACCCCTGTTTGGTCACGCTACGCACAGCAACCTACATTCGGTTTGTCGATTAAAATTAACGTACTCGATGAAATTCTTAATGATCAATTATCGATTAATCGATTAATCATGCCCATCCCTATTTAAGATATTTAACCATTATACTATTATACAATATAACACAATTGTATTGATGAATTCCACAAAATTGCTCAAATTTGTTTGTGCTCAAATCATTTTTATAACTATTTCATACACTGCTCTGATGACCACCTTCTGAAAGTAAGATGTAAATTTTACACCACCTTTTCCTTCTTAAATTAATTATTTACATTCTAACATACATTCTAACACTGCAGGTTGAATAGTTTTGGACTTGTTGTATTTGCATCCAAATGATGAATACGTCCTATAACACTGTGCTTGTTTTTGTTTTTCTCTACCTCTGCGACAATGCGTGTTAGGAGATGCCTCAGTGCTCACAAGGGGCAGAAGTTCAGGCCTATATTTGTGACTTCATGTTCGCTCACAGACGCGTATGCTAACGCGTCCACCCACAGCCATGTTTGTGTTTTCGCCGCTTTCCTTCCAGCGCCAAGCCCTTAATAGATGCACAGCATACGCCAGACAAAACAGGCCCATCTGCCTTATCACTGAGGTAATTGCATTTTTCAAAGTGACAGCGGCCAATGCATAATTCATCATTAGGTAAAGCACGACCAAGTCCCTCAGCCGAGTGTGTCAGCTCTGCTCTCTGTGGATACATTAGAGAGGGGCTGCTGTGTGGCCAGGCACTCACAAACATCTAGAGACAGAGACACAGGAGGAGTGTGTGTGTGTGTATATGTGATGCTTAAAAAGTGAAAGGCTGTCATCATGCTAAAAGTCTAAGACTGCATGCTAACACGACACCCAATTTTTTACTCTTTGTGAAGAAATTTTTCTTCAATTATCCTATATGCTTTTTTCCACCTGTCACAGCTAGACAGGTGGGATTGGAACCTCTCCTGCATCTAAATCAAGAGTTAAAGGGCTACTATGTCACTTTTCTTTCATGGAGTTCCACCAAAGATCTTTTTGCTTTGTTGGGAATGTTCTATAACATGGCTTTAAAATCATCTTGCATCTTTGTATTCAATTACAGGTGTTTTAATGCTTAGACATACCTCGAAAACATGCTTTCTTACTCTCTCCTCTCCTCAGATCTGACCTGTAACTTCACCTGCTGGTATCACCTAAAAAAGATGACAAACAGATGGGTTGAAATCCCTATTATGTAACATTTAATTGACATTACTCTTCAAACAAATATATTGTGCTAGCCATTTAACCCAAACAATAATAAAACTATCTTCAAGCAGCATTTTTAGTGTCCTTACAATTAGAAAACTTCCCATGCAAATGAGCAATTTCCCATGGGTTTACCATTTGCTCCTAGTTGAAATAGGCATTTGCACATTTTAATATGCAATCTGATGCAAATTACAGAGAACGTCTCACACAAAAGTGCCCTTTATTGATGGAAGAAAACTTGTTTCGTGCTCCAGTAAGTGCTGAACTGTAATTATGTTTTAGTAGTAAGGCCCCACCCACAGAGATCAGCCACTAACAGGCTATTTTATCTTGGAATTAATTTGAAGGAGTTGCCCAAATTATAAACATTATTGCTTTAAGAAACTCAAATTATATTCTTGCTAGTAAACATGCAATGAATTCTGTGCTCTTGAATTAGTGTATAATGTTTTATTCATTTTAAAGTGTGCTGTTCCTCTCCACAACTTTACTATGCATTTTCCCATTGCACCGTTACCTTCTGTATGCACATTGGTATCCACAAAGCACATCATAGGTTTTGTAATGAGGCTCCTGGTAGCGTCTCACCGTATGCATTTTGTGATTTGCATTGTTATTGGTGCTGTGTGATATTCTGAATACCAATGTGTCAGAATGCAGAAGTGCCAAAGCATTATAAAGACGATTTTCCTCTGTACTCTATATTTCTCCACTGTCTATGCAGCATTGGTTTTCTATGCTCACCTATGATTCCTATGCATGTAAACCTTCCCACACAGTGCATTTCTAATTATAGCACAAATCATATTTTTAGATCTTAACTCTTGTCTCCGTGCAACGAGCTCATTATTTAGTTACATTTATATATGGCAATTAAAGGCAGCGAGATTATCAGTATATCATGTATAACAAAAATGCTGATTAAAAATGAAAATCATGTTCTAAATTTAAAATAATATATAAAGTTCACAGTTTTACATTTGTCTAGTACATCCTTAACAAGTACAATTGATACTTTGCAGTGACATGTTGGGATGTCATACAAATTTCTGTGGTATTAGTCAGCTACCATTTACAACAAAATCACATTTCCCTCACCTCACATTAACAGAGTTTAGTGATTCGCTCATTGACTCTGCAGGTTTTCAGTCCCTTGGCTAATCCACCTGTCAATCATGCCCATCTGACCAAGTTCACATCTTTTGTAGTATTGAGTATTGAAGAAGTTTCTGAATACCAGGCTGACTTCATATTGTCAGTGATAGAATACTTTTTTAATTGCAAATCTTATAAATTCTGTTTCTGTTTTTGGTCATCCATCTCCTTGCAGTAGTGTATGCTGTGGGACAGTAATGGCAGACATCCGAAAAGGAAGCAGAGGAATTTTACAAGAAAGAACTGTCAACGCGCGGACAAGCTTTACGTGAATAAAAGCCAGACAGATGAATAGATAGATGAAAGAGTGTTCATGAAAGAAGGGACAGGTGGCACAGAGGAAGAGGCTCGTGCATGTCACCGAACTGACAGAAGGAATCGGGAACAGGCTCACAAATAACAGCATCCAAATGAGCACTATTCACATATCCTCCGCTTGTTTACCTGCTTGTAATTAGTGTATCTCTATCCCATTTTAGCTCTTTGGACACCATTTTTGTAAACTTTCAACCACTCATCAACCAGATTAACCCGATCTGTTATAATGTTGTTCCCTCATCAAAAACATACCTGGAGTTGTGTTTTTTTCACACATGTTTAACACTCATACCCTGCATGCTGAGTTCTTCTCTAAAACAAAAAACACTTGGTGGATGTCATGTGGTAATACAGGGAATGTTTCACTGTGTTTTTAAACTCCATACATGTTCACTAGAATCTTTTGGATGATTTTAGCTCTGCAAATGCCCATCTCTATTGAGCAAAACGTAAAGGTAGCTGTTAACTTAAAAACTACTGTCCATGACATCGCAAGGTGGAACAAAGCATTTTGAGCTTTGGAGATGTAGACAGTCGAATAATAGTTACTCAAATGTGTGTCTGAAACTAAACACAACTCCTGATATGTTTTTGAGCATCTAACAACATTATAACATGGCTTAAAGCTTGCAAGAGTCAAGCTTGGGTAATACAGGACCTTTAAATGATTCTTGGGCATGAAGGTTTTGGTGACTGTATCGGAATAAAGATTCAGCTTTTAAATTTTAAGTGTAACTAGAAGTGATTTCTTTATATAATTTATAGGGGTAGGTATTATTGACAAATTGCATACCTTATTATTTATCTCAATGACTGTATTTAAACAATATTGTTGCAATCCATGCACCAAAACAACAAAAGGGTATAGATTACTATTAGTATAGTTTCTGTCTCTCATTTTTATTTTCATCACTTTGTTTTGCCTACTTTTAAAAAACATTCTATTTTTTGCAAATCTCCAAAACAACATTTATAAAATTATCAGGTTTCAAATATTAATGTTTTGTCCATGGGCAAGAAGGTGCCCCAGCCATAGAGAGGAAATTAATAATACACCAAAATGTAAAGTTATGTCAAATATTCTTAAACTTAAATGTGGCCAATAAGTACAAAAATATAGATAGTCTCTGTAATATCCTGTATATGTTCAGTTGCTCTCTGTAGAATTGAAATAAATACATAAAAACTAAATTAACAATGTGTAAAATGATATATATATTTTTTCTGAACATCTGCATTTTTATGTTCCTTCCTTGCTCAGTTCTGCTCTGTCATTCATCATTAGGGTTTTGGAGTTTTCCCCTTCCAAATGGTGCAACATCTGTTTGGGAGTGGCGCGCTTGTCCTGCTCAAATGTGCTCAGATGCTACGAAGCCTTGAAGCGTCTCAGGGTGTAGGTTGTGTCGATTTCTGTGTCATCACTCGAGCTGCCATCATAATGTATCATCCTGTCACTTATCTGTATCCTAACGGTTTATCTAAATATTTCTCAATGGTGTTGATATCTATTTTAGAACAACAAATTCTCAGCCATTATCATATCATTACAGCTTTTATGAAGTGGCCTAATGTGGTTAGAGCAGATAAAAATGGTGTTACTTCAAAAGAGTTTATCACAAGTAGAAGCACTAAGAAGTAGTAGCAGAGTAAGCAAGTGTTTGGGGAACTATTACTACTAAGGGACATGGTAACTAACTGTCCCCATCCTAACATTTGGGGTTACAAAATCATAAATAATCCATAAAAAATGGTATTGCTCATAGACTGTGTAAATGGACACAGGTTACCCGCTAGCTGCCGCATACCAGATTGGAAGTGAGCATGGGGGATCTTCTGGCTCCATCAACTCACTCCAATTCATTTTGTATTGAAAAAAATGTATCCCCTCTCTCTGTAACTGCTGTTGTCTGGCTTGCCATTTTGGTCTTAAAATGTTTGTACTAACCCGCTCTTCATAATCCTGGTGTTTTTTATTTTTCTACTTTGTCTGTAAAGCAATTCCTAATGTGGAATTCTGCTCCAAATTCACCCCATCGCCCTAGCCTTGGTGAGCTTGATTGGACTGGAGCTGAGCTGGGTTATGGCAATAAATAAATTGTAGAAACTGATGAGTATTACATTTAGAGATGTGTATTTTTGGTTTTGATAACACAAAAAGTAAAAATTTACAAAATAGTTCATTGCGTACGATACAATTAATTTGATAACACCAAATACCAATTTAGAAACACTTAATCAAACTGAGATCAACAATTTTCTTTGGTTTAATATGCAGAAAGGGTTTGCTGAAACTCACAATTTGATCTTGTAATTGACAACATAGCTTTGGAGATGTAGACAGACCAATAATACAGGATTTCTCAAACACGCGTTAATGAAACAAAACAAATAACAAAATTCTGGGTATGTTTTTGATGAGAAAACAACAATATAACATAAACATTTAAGAGTTGATTTTGTGTAATACAAGATTTTTAAATGCCTCAGTCTAGTATTGTTGCTCATTTTGTAATGTGTCATTGTGTTGTGTGGCAGATGGAGACGGCGTTCAGGACCACCTCCTGCCTGTCTGTTTGGATGCAGCCTGTCAGCAGAGTGCCATCTACTTCACCACCACCACCGCAGAGGGCAAGGCAGAGGTATAGTGGAACACAGCCTTATGCCCATCCGTTCTGAATTTTGAGCATGGTTAAATTATGCATTGTTTTCTTTTTTTTCTTTTTTTCATTTACTTTTATTTGGTCAGTGTATCTCACTCTAGAGTGGTTTTCCTTTCTAAAAGATATAAAAAAAACCTGGGAGAGAATAAGTAAGAGAAAAGACTAAGTAAGAATCAACATAAAATCATTAAAGGGGACAAATTGTGTAAAGTCAACTGTCATGAAATGTCATCGTCTCATGGTGTAATGTCTGTTGTTTTTCGATTGCTTCATGCATGTTTGAGTAAGCCTGTATCATCCTGAATTCAAGGATGCTCAAAAAATTCAGTTTTCACCTAACCCCTATACCCATCCATTGCCTTGTTTACTTGAAATCAGTCTAAAGATTCAGACTATTGATCTTACATGTAGTTTAGAACAAAAAGTTTAACAGCAAAAACAGGTGAAAAAAAAGAAAAGAAAAAAAAAAAACTTGCTTGTTATGGTGAAATGCCACCATTAAAAGATGGGGGTGCTAATTTCTGTAGTTTTGGACATGAAGTTGATGGGCTTGTTTCTGTTGTTAAGGGGGTTTGATCAATATTGATGTTTGCAATGAACATAATGTAAAATAATAATCTAGATCTGTTATACTTTAATACTATATAATTGAATAGTTCTTTAAAGAGGGGGTACTATGGAAAATTGAGGTTTTTTTAGGCTTTCTACTGTGCTATTCAATCACCTTAAAATGGTTGAAGAGGTTTTACATGTCATCCATGCATGTCTGAGATAATCTAGCGATCTCTCCCGGGCCTGAAACCTCCCTTATTCAAAGCTCAGCCCACAAGCCTACATTACCCATGCTTCCTCACATAAATTTTCCATAAATATACAAAAGCATAATATGAAAAGATACACTACAACTTCAGAAACCCAATGGGATGTGCAGTTTCATTAGCGGATTGATTGTGTTGTGGTAGCACTCTGAAGGTAAGTGACTTAGCATAGAGAGCAAAGGGAGGCTGAACTCAGAGCATCAAAAATGAAACATTTAACAGCAATAAAAGGTGACATGGTGGTCTAAATATGTTAAGTGTTAGCCGTGAATACCCCATAGAAGTGTAATACCCCCTTCTATAAACAGAATTTCTGCACAGTAGTTAAAAGACTTGCATGCAGTTTTAAGTAGTTTTACCTTCAACACCCAAACCAAGCCAAACAGGATCTTCTACTTCAAAAACACAACACGGCAGTTGAGAACAAGGACTGAATGCCTGTGTGCAGAGGAATTTTCTGTCTTGTAAATAGACGCCCCTCTCAAATCCACCTACCACCATCTTGTGTGATTCCTGCTGCTTCCTGTCTGGCAGTAGACCCTGTTCTCTTTTCATCCTCCCTCCATCTCCAAAGAGCCATTTTTAGTGTTTTCGGTCTAAAATAGAAATATTACAGGCTTATCTGCATGTCCACCCCCTCATGTACATGAAGCCTGAAAGACACACGCACATGTATGCAGATGTGCAGTCCCTGTGGGCATGTGCTTGCTTTTGTATTCCTTACTGAGAGAAATGATTGAAGGAAGTGCGTGGAGCAGAGTTAGAGGGAGGCGCAGGGAGGAGGACTTATCAGCTCTGATGGATGAAGCAAACACATGTTGTCTTGTGTGTGCTGTTTGTGACACTGTCTTCACTGTCATTGAGGAAACAGGCTGGAACACGGAGTCAACCTTTGAAAACACACTCCTGCTAGAAGAGACCTAGCTATTGACAACGTCAAATGTGTAATTTGTTTTACTTTAATTTTGGGTAAAAATATATGAGTACTAGAGCTGAGTATCATTAAGAAGTGGCCGATACGATACATACCTCAATACAGTGCACTTTTAATTCAATACAATATATTTAAAATCGATTTGATTTTAAAAAATAAAAAATTAAATGCTAAATCATGTCTGTGATATTACGTCTTTGCTAAACCACTTCTTGTGCAAAAAGTATATGAAACACACAACATTTTAATCATCAAAACAGTGAAAATGTCAAATGTGTCGCATAAATGCATTTCCTTCCTTTAAACAACAAAACTGTAACACTGTAATAGCACTAACAAAATAATTAGTAAAATATACCAAAAACTACTCTTGGCGATATATTTCGATACAGCAGTCCATGATATTGATACTGTATCATCACATTAAACAATACCATATATTGATATTTCGATATTTTTGCACAACCCTAATGAGTACCCTGTTGAAGTATCTCACCACTCAGACACTGCATAGGTTTCTATCACCTCTGAATGTGACTTAAAGAGGTTTTTTTTACAAAGTCAGCACGTTGTAACTTTCTACCATGTTATAATGCTGTTCTCTCATCAAGAACTTGCCTGAAGTGTCCATGAATGATTGAGTAATCTTGCAATCTCTCCTAGGCACATTCGTACCCTCCTTCTGATTAGCAGTATGACCCTACACCTCTTGTACAAGGCTCAGCACAGCCATTTTCCGTAAATATACAGGACACAAAACACTACACCTTCACAAACTTGATATATAGTATTTCATAGAATGCACACTGTTTTGAGAAAGCACATTAAAGGAGTGACTTAGCGGGGTGCGTAAGAGAGGGCTGGATTAAACATTTGAATATGTTGTTTTTGGCAGATCTAGCATTTTCAAAACAATGTGTGTATACCTTGAATATGCCAAGCAGTGTGTTGTCCTGTTTTTCTGTAAAAGCTGCTAAGCATCTCTGCCTTCATGTTGTGTCTCGATGTAAAAATCTTGGAGCATGTTTGCAAAATGTGTGGTCTGTCCTCTAGCAGTAGCTTTCCAAAAGTATAATAAATTCTAGAAGTTCTGCTGTTTAACTAACTAGCTAGTATAACTAACTACCATATTTTTCGGACTGTAAGACGCACTTTTTTTCATGGTTTCGGTGGTCCTGCGACTTATACTCCGGTGCGACTTATATATTAAAATTTTCAGACTAACAGCCACGAGAGGGCACTCTATGCTCATGTGTCAGTATCTAGTACTACTATTACTCCTGACCTTTACCACTGTCTCTCTCCTGACCTGTCCTACTGCGCTTGCCTCCTGTAGAAATAGCCGCTGTCTTGCTGCAAATAGTGAAATATTTAGCCGAAAACGGTTATCGAGCAGCAGAAAGTTTGGAGTGAGCAAGAAACTTGTGATTGACTGGTGGAAAGCAGGGATGGAGAACACAGTTTCAGAAGTGACACCAAGGATGAAGAATTCAATGGATTTAGTGATTTGGAGTGAGATCGTGAGTTTGGTAAACGTATGTTCTGTTGTTTATGCTATAATTATCCGAATAACTGTTAATATGTTATATGTTAACATATTAATGCCTATTCAGCCTCTTGTTCTCTGTTCTGTTGTTATTACTATAACTTGCCTTTCAAGATGAAAGATCTCTGATTTTACAAAATACATTTCCCCAAAAAGTGCGACGTATAGTCTGGTCTGACTTATATATGTTTTTTCTTCTTCGTTGCACATTTTTTGGCTGGTGCGACTTATACTCCAGAGGGACTAATAGTCCGAAAAATATGGTGTACTTCAGTGGCTCTAACACAATGAAAGTCTCTGCATATTTCTGTTGCAGAAAGATTCTTATTGTGAAAGAGTCAGACAGCAACACAGCACATTGCTGTTGGTCCGCAGACAGTAGTAGAGCCACAGCAGTGTTTTAAAAGAATAGATGCTGACAATAATGAATAAGACATCTCATAATGTCACTGATTCACAATATTATAGTATAGGCCTTTTAATAATATATAATATTTCCAAAACATACTTCTAGATAATATCTATCCTAAAGGACTAATCCCTAAAGTAAGCATTAAGCAAAAAAGAAAAAAAGGTAAATATGCTCTTAAAAAGGTAATTTGGTAATAAAATGCACTTTAAAAATAGTCCAATAACTGCGATTAATCACAAGTTAATTCAGTACTATCAATGTCATTAATCTTGATTTAAAAATCTGAATCTAATGACAGCACCAAGCCAAGACTGAACACTGAAACAAAAGAGTGCTAATAGATGATTGCAGAATAAAATATAAATGACAGAAAAATTATTTGCTATTTCTATAAAATATTAAAAGAAGACATGAGTGAAATTTTGGCCTTCATCACTTCTGTAATAAGACCACCCAGTATGGACACAGTATAAGACCAATTAGGCAAAGTCATGATTACCTGCCTGCGGGTGGGCATGGAGCCCCACTGAGGAGAAGTTGTGTGGACATCTCCCGCTCCTCCTCCTCTGTGTCTGAATGGCCATTTTGAGGTTTTTGCTCTTGAAGTAGACACTGCCACGCTTCTCTCTACGCTTCAGGCCGGCAGTTCACCATATTAAAAGAATCCACAGGGGGCGTCGCACTCAATGTCGTTTGCCTTTTTCTTCCCATCTTATACATGTACACCCGTAGATTACATTTATGTGACTTTGGGACTCGTTTTTGTCCTGGAAATTCTTCTGCACTGTGGGGTATTGAAATAAAAAGTCCATAATTGCATGCTCTTGACAGATCCAAAGCTTTAGAAATAAGTTAAATTGCAGAGGAAAAGAAAAGGGCACAATGGGCACAGTGGCCTACCTGCTAAAATATGTTCTCTCATGTAGATTTAATGTCTTTTTCTGCAATCTACTCATAGTGTCCCATAGGGGTGGGCGATATATCGATATTTTAAATATATCGAGATAGTTTTTAAACTCGATATGAATTCTGACATATCGTATATATCGATATAATGCTTATATTCAATTCTGATTTCGCCACTTCACTTGTTTGTCTTCTCTCTCGTCGCCTCCGCCTCCCTGATTTTGTTCGCTCGTGTCTCCTTCACTCGTCACTATCGCCGTGAACACCGAAAGTTGGTGCCAGTGAAAAACTTCAAGCACCACGAACCTTTTCCACCATTTACAGACAAGAACATCAGCAGCACATCCTCATATTCCATCGAGT